AAAAAAAATGTTATTATTGCTGATACAACAAATGCGTTAGAACTAACTATATGGGAATCTCATTTTGATCAAATAGTATTAGGTGATTCTTATCATATTCGTTTATTAAAAATACGTATATTTAATGATCAGATATCATTAACTGCAACAGCAGATACATCGTATGTCATAAAAAATTAAATATAAAATAATTAAATTACTCTATTTTTTTATTTATAAGATTCATAAAAATTGAAGATTTACAAGAAACCGTAAACGAAGTGGATAATAATATAAATCGATGTCATACACTTCAAGGAAAAATCATATCGATTGAAAAAAATAATGATCAATTTGCATGTCAAGGTTGTGGTGGTTTCAATATGATTGAGTCTGCTAATATTATTACATGTAATGATTGTCATTCTCGATTATTCAAAGATACAAGTATGAACGATGACAATCTGAAAATCATGATATTAACATTAAATAATCAAGAATATAGTTTAAAAATACCAAAATCACTTATAATTAATTTATTAAACGTAGATAAAACATCTTCAATACAAAATACTGATTTTTTTTACAATGAAAATAGTTTAAATACTCTTCTTTCAACTGATGTTCAATTTACATATACTGAGATTACTGGCCTTATTACTGATATTGCAACATATATCCAACAGTAAACTAGTCCATCAAACTACTAATGAAATGATTGTCAAAATTTTTAATAGCTTCGATTTCTTTCTTTATAAATAAAAGCACGATAACAATTTTACATATACTTAAGAAAAATTAAAACTTGAAACTGAATAAATAGTAAATAATCTAAATATGCATAAAAAATTATACCAAATAAAATATCACGCTACTACTTGCTTTTTCTATTTTAATTCAATGTAAATAAAAATAAACTATATTTTATTCGAATAATTAAATATTTATTAATTTGCACAGAGTCAAATAAACTACTTGTGAACATTAACTACTTAAACTTTATATATTCTGAAATTTGTTTTCACATGAACATCTTTCTGCCATCCTATTCTTGATACGAACTTCGTATTAACTATAAAATGTATGAAGCTAAAGTACAACGCTCAATTTAAACGAAAAAAAGAATAAATTAAAAATCAAACTGACAAAAGTTTAAAACTAACGTATAATATAAATAAAGCATTAACTGAAACTAATAGTTAGCGTATATGAAGATCTATAACGTAAAAATGATCGCAATCAATCCAAAAATTATTTTACAAAGACTAAAATCTTCAGAAAAAATGAAAAGAATAAATTTTAAATCCAAGCTTAGTAATTATCACATCAGTTAAAACGTCCTACACAGTATACTCAAACCCTATTGCATATCAAACCTATAACAGGACCTATGAAATACCAGCCAACCTGTTATCTTTCAGCCATCAAAGAAAACAAAACACATAAACGTGATCAGATATTTTGATGTTAACATACGTGAGTTCCACATTTTTAGCCCCAACGGGGCTGCGCTGATAAGCTTTTTTTTAACTTATTCATATATTAAGAAACAAGAAAAAAACTTATTCATATACTTCATAGCATTCATATTTTTACTTAGGCTTTTATGAAAAAAAAATCTATCATCTCTAAAATAATTAATTACACATTCACCAATTCTTTCTCTAAATTAAAAACAGACATATATATATATGTATGTTGTATGTGTCATCTATATGATACAAGAGAAAGAAGAAAAAAAAAGGACATATGTCGGTGATATTGTATCAACCATGAAAGTAGAAACAAAAGAAACTGTATTTATGTCATTTGTGCATAGCAAAAGAAGAGAAAAAGTAAAACTATATGAAGACATAAGATCATATATTGTATCTTACTAATTCGTGATTCGATATTTCAGTAAAGTTATAGATAGAACTGTACTACTATGAATAAATCACGGATTTAATTTAAGCTGAATGATTTGATCCTTTTTATCTATTAAGTTTATGATAAGTAGAAAAGAATTAAACAGTTATTTCAGAAGGTTTTGTAAACAAAGCAACAAAAGAAAAATTAATAAAATAAGATCGATCAAGAAAAAAAATATATTTCATCGTTCCAGAACATAATTCAACTGGACCAAGTATGTAGTGATTCAGCCGTTTGTTAACACTTTCACTGTCCCCATACAAAAAAATGAGTAATTGTACTACGTCCATTTTTTATTTTTTTCTTAATTTTAAAATATATTATTTTTGAAGTATATTACGTTTATATACCACAAAAATAAGTTTTAAACATGTTCGATGTTTTTTTTTCATGCAACACATGATTCAATTGTCTCTCTTAGAATAACACTGAACTGACTTTATTGGAGAAACGATGATTATATACATGAACGAGCTAGGAAGTACCAAACATTCCGGAAAAAAAAGCCAAGCGCCATATTTTTCAGGATTTTATTATGCCCAGTGTATCGTATGCGATTCAACCTAAAACTAGAATACTTCTTTACATCGTACTGATATATTCCAATAGTCTAAATGCAGTCACCTAGTTGCGTTTATCAGAATTCTAGCTTCAAAAATCATATGCAGTGCATACATCATATGTGATGCACGAGACGTCTCAGTCCAAAGTATCGTGCATCACATATGATGCACCGGACAGTGAAAGTGTTAACATTTTATACAAATAGCTATCGTTATCTATGTAAAGATTTTTCGGTTTACGTTTTTAAAATAAACATATATCCAAGAACATATAACTGATATAATAGAGACATAAATTAAAATAGAATTAAATCGTTTTATAGATTATAATAATAGTGATAATATCAACTTTTTATTCTATTTTTTTATTCTTATTCGTAAATTCAAAGTGTGATTTAATCAAACAAATTTTTATATTTATTACTAAAAAGTTTGTTTATTGATTACATCACACTTTGAATACAAGATTAAGAATAAAAAACAGAATAACTAACTACTATTACACTATTAAATGTGTAAGCAATATATATGAAAAAAAAGTGTAGCATTAATATTATCAATTATTTTAGTTTATTTATTCTACGTGGATCGTATCTTATTTACAAAGAAAGGTAAGATGTTCAGTGAATATTAGCTTGTCGCTTACTAATTAGAGATATAGTATTTGATGTTTCCATCCAATCTGATAAAAGTTTATTCAATACTATCATCATCATTCATATCGATATCTTGTTTTTATTGTTTGTATGGTTCATAAACTCTTTTAGTTAAGAATTATCGTTATTAAATATATTTCAGTATTTATAAGAATATTTAATACTTCATTTTCTCTCTCTTATTTTCGAGCAGTGCTGAAACGACAATCACCGTCTACATTATTATGACTATTCTGATTAAAAGTAGTACTCATTGTCTTTCATAAAAAAAAAATCAGAGACAATATTTAAGGTGGCTGACTGCACGAACTGCATTTAATCACATTATTCCTTTTCATTCGATTCGTTCCATGGCAAATTCTTCTCCATTCTCCTTTTTTTCGATACATAAGTTACGATTTAAGTCATCCATTCGTTCTTTAGATGCAAGTTTTAGTTTAAAATGATAAATTGCTGAGATAGTGAGATTGTAACGAGTGCAAATCTGAAATCTGTTTTTTAAAATTCAAATGCAGTGAGAAAGTATAAAAATGCAGAAAAAAATAATAATTAACAGTTGATAGTTTCTTCATATAGACATACATGATTCAATAGTGAAAACATCATTGATATTTTAGATCTTATATGTTTATATTTTAGTTAACGTTTTGTTTGACTTGAACTCATTCTCATTCATGAAGAAGTCTGAAAGACTTGGATAAATCTTTAAGTACAGTATATTAATAAGATAGGGGAGATCATAAACAAATTATCAATAGATAAATAAGATAATCGATTTAATAATATTTATTTGTCTTTTGTGTTAACATTAGTGTGATGCCACGAGCATATAGCTAAGAAGTTATTGCTAAACGCATAGTTTAAAGTTTGTTTAAACAAAACTATAAGAAGATTGAATAAAAACTTTCTTCTTACTTTGCATTATTTTATTTAGAAATTGAGAGACAAAAATAACAAGTTTGATGATGAGATCAACTTATCATAGACATTAATAAAAAACGACAAAATCTATACCGCTATATCGCTATATATACCTCTTATACCGCTAAATACCGCTATACTGCTACGTGATGATTTTCTTCAAATTCGTTTTTTTCTCATTTGAAATGATTTTTCCGCAAGTTCAAAAACCCCATGACCTCATTTATCATGCAAAAGGTTATATACAATCATGTCAAACAAGCAATAAAAATCATTCATTGTTATTTTTCAACATAGGCGGTGATTTTTGATATTGCGAATGACTGCAACGACATCACAAATCCAATCAAACTTCTATAATTATTGATACTTTTACACATAAATATCAGATAAAATGCAAAGACCAAAACTGCAAATCTTTCAAACCACTATGGACAAACATTTTACAAATATTTTAGAAATATAGTAGGACATAGATTAAAAGTAGGCAAGAAAAGCTGAAAGCATCATTTTCTTCAACTAAAAATTAATTTAAGATTCACTGACATTGCTATATTTGTCCTAATATAAATACACATAATACGACACCACCATATCACAACAACCTCTTACTATTACACCCTTCAGCAATACCACAAAACAACTTCAAGTATTTTCTATACAGTTAAAACCCACTCAAATAAACCGTCTCGACACTTTCGAGAAATCACTCGTAGATCATACTTCAGCCAAAGTCGCTAATAATATCTCAATCTAAAAACACACAGATATAAATTCCACACATAACTAATTCAACTTCATAATCATGCGAATCGCTAGATAGACATATTTCCTAATCACCAATGCCATAAGTTACTCGATGATTATGTTCATCATCACACCGATGTGCATCTAATGATCATCAATGGCATGACTTACTTTAGAAACGCGGAACAAAAACTAACCAGAAATCGGCGTCGAAACAGAACAGTAGTAACCGTGTAGCTTAGAGAAGCATCAGGACCCGCATAAAACTAGGTGCGGAATGCTAGCAGAATTGATAACAACGGATCTGAGAGTAGGACGAAGGAACGTTGAGTTGCGGCACAACAGCCGTAACCAACAGCAAACCAGTATAAGAACAAACAAGCTTCTGATGAATACGCATGCCTTACAGCGATTTTACAACAAAATCTAATAAAACGTTTTATGACGAGATGCTGCAGATTTCACTACTGGAGAAGCTTGATCTCCTTTAGAGAAGTACCGGGAGACGCGGCGTCTGATCGTGAGATCCTGAAT